ATAAAAGAATGGAAGGAAAGAATGAACTGTGAACCCTATGTGATGAACAATGGCACAGAAGGACTGTTGGGATGATTATGAAGTAGATAAATCCTAGACATATTTAATAAATGAAAACTGTATACGTCTTTGACATAATATATTAAATGGAATTTATATGTTTTATGTTTGTTTTGCATATCATAAATAGTTAATTATGTTTAAATATTTGTGTCATAAACTTAAGATTAATGATCTGTGCCTTCTGCGTGTGTTCATTTGATTTGGTGTGAATACATTTAATACACAAAGAAGTGTTTCACAAAAGTTAACTTGTTTGTTCTCATCCATATTATTATTATTGTTTATGATCATAAACCTCAAGCCTGCAATAGTTAGTAGGTTTTTGTGTGTTATATGGTTCATTCTATATACATTAACATTTTTTTTATTCTCTTTCCTTTTTTTTCCCCTTGCTTTTTCTTCAATTTCTTTTTCTCGACTGTCTTTGCTCTTCTTCATTATTTTTAGCCTTGTTCTTCTTCTTATGGCATGAGTGTATACCATGTGTCAGTGTGATAACATTGTAGGGAATCACGTGGATATACTGTCCGGGATATGCAGGAGTGCGAGGGAATAAAAGAGCGGATTTTCTGGCTACAAAAGCGAAAGCTACGGTAACACTCGTACAAGAGAGAGATTCTGAAAACCATAAATGAACGACTACTGACAGAAGACACGAGATTAGATGAAATAATCAGGAAACCATTAGCCCCAGAACAAGACGACTTTTTTTTTTTAATGGACAGACCAGAACAAGTCATTATCCTCCGCCTCAGAACAGGGCACAACCGATTACGTAACCACATGTACGCAAAATTCAAGATCGGTGTATCAGCCATGTGCACATGTGGAAATGTGCACCAGACAGCAGAGCATGTACTCCAGGACTGCACCGAATTTGACACATTAAGGCAAACCTTTTGGCCAGAAAGAACAACAATGGAACGTAAACTCTATCGACCACTGAATGAACTAACAATGACTGAAATTTATACAAGAGATAAAACTGCTGGTATAGAAAACTTATTTCAGGCGAAGGAAAGAAGAAGAAGATGAAATAACATGTGCAAGAATGTGTGAACGAGGAATTAAGTGTCGATCCAGCAAGGAGGGATGGACGAGAGGAAGAGAACAACATGAGTATAATCAGTGTGCTACGGGAACAGTTAGCATCTACGCCTTAAGACATTTGCTACGGGAGACGGAGCATCTGTGGGTATTCCCGGAATGTTATGATGTGATTCATAAATCAGTAAGCAGTGTTTACCGAATGTAAACTCCAGTGGAAGGTTCTGGTTGTTCATCAACTTCTGGACTTAAGGCTTGTTCCAGAACCTGACTTGTGTGCACATATATTTTACAGATCTGCCATATCTGTATGCAGACTGTAAGTTCCTTGCCTCTCAGACAAAGATATCCCCCGACTTTGAAGGAAACACCTAATTAGTCGACTCTTAGGACATGCATGTTAGAGAGGCAGGGTCTGTTTTGTTTTCCTCCATACTGAGACCCCAGAATCAAGGTGGTAGAAAAATAGAACAGTGTAGATGTTTTTTTAAGTTTTTTAGTGACCTGTGTAATGTGGTGTTTTTTTTTTTTTTTGGTCCTAAAAAAAAAGGATATTTTAATAGGAATTTCATTTAAACAAACATTAGTCTTCCCAAACAAAGTAGGTCACGTTCCACTGACAAGTTTTTTGCATTGGTCTACCTTGGTGGAAGTTAAGGGTGTTCCGTTCTGCTGTTTGCTTTCTGGATTGTCTTGCATTTATGTTTCAATTCCCAGAAAGAGAATGCCTGTGACATAGGTTTCATCACTCTCTAAAGGTGCTCTGTGTTAGACCCAGTTTGTCGCTGTTTTTGGAGTGTTAAAAGTGCTGGCATGCTGAAATATACAACATGCGATGCCAACGGGATTGCGGAACACCCCTGTAACCTTGTGCCAAGGTTACGTGGCTCAAGGTCGACCAATCAAAGTTAGCTAGGCTGAAGGTTAACCAATCAGAAGTGAGCTAGTGTGTAACACTGTGTAGATAGAGCAACGTTACTGTTACCGGAATTTCTAAGAGTTCATGACCCTATTCTTTTTAAGCATTCGTATGGTGAAAGGGTTAACTGTAATTTTCTTCTTACATATAGGAATGAAATTTACACAAACCAGTTTCAATATTTTCGCTTTTATTTACTCAAATATTTGAGAATATAAACTGACACTATCAAACTTGTACACTGTAAGAGGTAGCATAACGTATGATGTAAACTACTTACATATTATCACAATTTGGGCATTAAATTATCACATATGAGTATTCTTTTATCTTTAACAACAGTGTTTTAAGCTATAGAGAGTCAAGATCAATCAATCAGGTGTCCTCTCCACAATGAAGGTTGACTGCAATAAATACCTAACATAAATTCTTGTCTTGTACTCTCTCAGACGACTGTTGGTCCATACAGTCATACTATCATAATCCTTTGTTCTTCCTATTTATTTACTTCAGACATTCCTGCTGTATTCTATCATTATAAGTTAACCACGATGGACCTACAGTATTCCTAGTGTATAGACGTGAGGGCGATGATAAATATCTTTTCTTTCCATCATCCACTGCTATTGCCTTCCCATTTAATCTCTTCATTTGCTATTTTTTTTTTTTTTTTCTTTTAAATACTAACAGTTCTGGAATATTAATCTCCTTCTTCTACTTTGATCCTTCTGACAGAAAACTGACAACTCAGGCCAGTGGGACAGACTGAAAAATACATTTACATATCTAGTGCCAGATTCTCTCACAAGAACAGACTAAAAATTCCTTCCTATTTAATCTCTTCATTTACTAATGTGTTTTTTTTTTTAAACAGTTCTGGAATACTTATCTTCTTCTTTGAGCCTTCTGTTAGAAAACTGACAAAAGGAGGCCAGTATCTTTAGAAGTGAAACCACAGAAGCTCAGTAACCATCCTGCTTGCCCATCAGTCCCACAATATCTCACCAAGACAGTGACTGATTTAAAATCAATTTGGCATCTCAATGCAACCCAGATTACAGTAAAAATAAAAAGTAAGTGATTGGTAAAAAAAAAAAAAAAAAAGAAGGAACCTTTTCCACGCCTTTAGGCGCATAGGGCATACAGGTTTAGACCTATATTTTATATACCAATCGGTACTTGGCGAGTGATGTGGCAACAACACCAAGACAGATTAAAATATGTATCAGGAAATCATCCCGGAAGTAGAACAAACAGCTTGCACGACACTGACCCCATCACTCGATAGGTCTATGCAAATATGAGACTTACCCAATATATTCAGTATGCTATATTACTTAGAAAAAGGTTCTATAATTCATACTTACAACATTATAAATGCAAAGGTATCCTGTATATTATATAATGTATTGTATAATCAAACAGATATATGCACCTTGTAAATTGTGAAATATAAAGTAAAACATTTCAGATGTTTTCCTGTTGGGTTATCCTGTCCACTGCTGGCGGTACAACTGTCCCACTACTGATGGTACAACTGTCCTACTACTGATGGCACAACTGTTCCACTGCTGGCAGTACAACTGTCCCACTACTGATGGTATAACTGTCCCACTGCTGGCGGTACAACTGTCCCACTACTGATGGCACAACTGTCCCACTGTTGGTTGTAGTGAAGCTGTTCTACTTTTGGCTGTACGAATGTCCCAGTACTGGTTGAAAACTGTCCCACTGCTGTTGGTGTAGCTTTCCCACTGCTGGTGGCACAAATGCTTCACTACACCTTGTACAACTGTCCTGCCACTAATGGTACGCGGCACGTTTTTTTTAAGTGTCCCTTTTGGCCGCAGTGACAAACACCGATGGAAAACGTAAATGTGCATATGCATTATATTTATGTAGTTCATTAGCTAGCTAGCTGCTATTTTTTCACTGTTGAAATCTTGTCTGATGCTGTGTGTGAGTGATTTATAAGTGCAACAATAAATATTCCTGCCAGCTGCGAGGTTTGTGCCGTAATCCACTTTTTTTTTTTTTTTTTTGTTAACAAAACTCACTGAGGTTTATGGGCCAAATGTAATGACTGACAGTATGGTTAGGAAATGGTGTCGAATGTTTAAAGAAGGGCAAACAAATATCCATGATGAAGATTTTAGCGGTCGGCTATGATCGGTGACAGATGGTTTGCTCGAAGATGTGAATCCAAAAATTGAGGAAAATCATCGTTTCACAATTTCTGCGTTGTCTGTCGAATTTTCAGAATTTTCACTGATTTATGACACTGGGACAAAAAAACCTTGGATACCACCTCCCCCCCCAAAAAAAAATCAAAAACAAAAGACGTGGGTTGTTGTCCTCTGAAATTGTATTTTGGCCTGATAATGCTTAACCTCAGGTTGCAGATGGAACTGTTCAATTGTGGCAAAAAATGTCACTGGGATATTGGTGACCACCCGCCCTACAGCCCCGAATGCTGAATTAAAAATCGACATCACAGCACTCAGGACACCCCGTCCCCGATCTGGCGCCGAGTGATTACCACCTTTTCATGCACCTAAAGAAGTGGCTGGCATCCCAGCGGTTTGAAACTGATGACAAACTGCCGACAGGCATAAAAAAAAAAATGGTTCAAAACACCAGCGGCAGACTTTTATGACACTGGAATTAAGAACCTGGTGACACAATAACAAAAATGTGTTGAAGTCAGTGGTGACTTTGTTAAAAAAATAATGTAAATATGTGGCTCACTTTTGGCTGCAATAAATCATTTTTATATATGAAGGTTTTCTTTTAATTTTATTCCAGGACTAACTTAGAAAATGTGCCTCGTACAAATGCCCACTGTTTGTTGTACAACTGTCCCACTGCTGACGGTACGACTGTTTCATTATTGTTAGTATAACTGTCCCACTCCTGGTTATACAACTGTCCCACTTCTAGTAGTACTGCCACATGATGCTACACACCTCCGCTACACACCTCCGCCACTCCGCTCCACTGTAATCTTGTTCAGTTTCTCTTCATTGTCCTCCAGAGCTTTAGCAAACCGTGAATGTACAATCACCCCGTGGTTAACGGCACTCATCAACTGGGGGGAAAAATTAGATTTAGATAATTAGAAACACTCTTGACAAGAGACTCAAATAACTAGTCTCGAATTCTCTTACAAAAACAGACTGAAAAATGGCTTCAAAAATCTACTGTCAGATTCTCTAAGGAGTGACTGAAATATTGAATTTAAAAAATGTTTTAAATATTCTCAGAATGGACAGCAGCAACAACAAAAAAGAAAAGGTTGTAAACAAAAAAAAAGTTTATATATATATATATATATATTAGCTAATTCGCTCACAATATACAGACTGACAAAATAGTTCTAACACCTTGTATAACCTTGTATAAAAGTTCCTATGACAACTGAAAACAGCTCTTAAACAAGATACTGAAAACAGATGTGTTTTGTGTAAAACAGTTTCCATAAGAACTTAAAATAGATACACTGTTACAGTTACTATCACAAGATACTGAAAACAGCTATATTTCTTTTGTTACAGCCACTATTAGGAGTATGATAAGCCTAGACACATTCTTTTTCTTACAGCCCGTGCTATATGGCATTGGTAGTTATGATTTTCCACATCCTTCTGTCTAGTGGATGTTCAATCATTTCTGACACAGATGAAGCACCATACCATAATGCCTAACTGTCCTCTGTGCCCTCTAAGATCCTCACCCACCCCAGCTATCACTCAGCACTGTCATAATGTACTCCAGTTTATATTTCCCACGATGTAACCAAACAATGTAGAATGTTTCTTTCCGATTCTGATGCAGGTAATCTGTTCTCTTTGATTTCATTTCTCTCAAGACATCTTTGTCGGCTCTGTGGCTAAGTTGATGCAAACCCTCGGTAATGCCGGGTTCGATCCCAGCTGCGGGACATGCGCCTTGCGTTGGTTTCTACAGTGATATCAAGAAAGCCGACCGTCCAGAAAGCAATGGAAAACTACTGGATGTAAATTTGGCTAGAAAAACCACACAACAGCCAGGGGCTATTGTGGTTGGTTCTGCAAAGTTGTCGCGTGCGAATGTGCACCAGAACGCACCAGTACGGAGTGAGCAAACAAGACGTCAAAACAATACGTCAGGTTGTGAAGGAATTGTATTCAAGGAGATGCAAGTCGAAGTTAGACCAAGGCGGACGGTTTGGTCCGGCCTTGGTGTGGATCCTTGAGGATGCTTTACCCCAGGATGCCACGGTGGATCCTTGAGGACGTTTTACCCCGGGATGCCACAGTTCGGCAGTAAGCCGGTATACTTCGCAGTTGATGTTTATAGTCCGAAGGAGACGGACGTGTGGATCCTTGAGGACGCTCTACCCCGGGATCCCACGGAAGCAAACGTTATATGAAGTTGGATCCTTGAGGACGTTTTACCCCGGGATTCCAAGATAGACCTCAGCAGGAAGCTGGTGAACACTACATTCTCGGCAGTAAGCCGGTATACTTTCATTGCTTAATTCAGACTTGTCCGAGGACAAAGATAATCGTCTGGATCTCAAGGTCGGACTGCGACCTATCGTGAGGACATATCAATACATGGATGTACGAGCGAGCTTTGGTTGAACGAGTTGATTATTGATTGCATACGTATTCTTGTGTTAATCATTGCATTTGTCAATACACAAATGGAACTTTTAAAGAGAGTTCTCGTTCTGCTACGTTGGAAGCTTCAGCATTCATCATGTTGTGTTACTCTTGGCCAGTGGCATGTTAAGTGTTGATGCCATTTGTTACATTGCGACACCCCCTAGACACTTTTACACTCGTTACAATGAAGCTCCACACGTCACAAAAGTCCTGTAAAGGATACGCAACTAACTAACCAAGACATCTTTATAACTCTTTATTATCTGCCCATGGTGTTGTCACCATTCAGGTAGAAAGCCTCATCTCTGCAGCTGCCGCATAATGCTTCACTAATCACATATTCTAGGCTATGATTTGCATGCTGGGGTAACCATTTCCTTGCTCTTCATCTTTCTTTCTCAGAGACTTTCCAGGCAATTCTGAAAGTTATCTAGAACAAATTTTTAACAGATGTTCTAGTTGGAACATATAATCTTGACCTTACTGCAGATTCAACCAGACTCACTGGCATGACAGGCAAGCGTACTAACCAAAAATGTAATGTAGTTCTTCAATCAGATAGATCATTACGGTCCGAGGAGAATGGGGCTGCGAGGAGTTACAAGGTATACAATCAGACAGTTACTGGTACCATCAGAATTTTAACTCTTGGCTTGCTGCTGAAGATGGGGACAGAGCGCTTATGAGGGTGTCCCAAGTGCTGTGATGTCGATTCTTAATTCAAGATTCAACCATTCAGTATGTGTTTATTGGTTGAAGCTGGTTCCCATGGATTCTAGGACCTCTTTGTGAGGAGAACAAGAACAAACCCACTGCCTCCCCAACAGGCATGTCGTAAGAGTCTACTAAACTGGGCCTTCCCATGCAGTCTGAGTGCATTTGCCTGAGAGGCAAGGGACCAACAGTCCGCATACAAATAGGCCAGATTTGTAAAATGGATGTGCAAGCAACATTCAGGTTTTGAAACAAGACTAAGTCCAGAGGGGTATGACAACCAGACTTTTCCGACAGTTGGTAGATGCACACACAAAAAAGGTTAAAATGACCTGGTAAACTTTTCTGAATTCTAAGTTCCCTGTGCGTGTTCTGGCTCTATTTTAGAGAAGAACAGACCCATTGCACCACCCACCCCCTACCCCCAACAAGCACATCATAGGAGGTGACTTATTATGTGTCTTTCCTCCAAAGTCAAGAGTCCATCTGCCTGAGGTGCAGTCTGCGCATAAATAAGCCAAATCTGTCAAACGGATGTGAACACAAAACTGCTCTGGATCAAGGCCGAAGTCCAAGAGTTGAGGAACAACCAGAACTTTCTGCCAGAGTTTACAGCAGAAGAATTCTAAGGACTAATGGTAATATCAACCATTTCTGTTCCACTAGTTACATCAAATCATCCTGCTTCATAGTGTTGCTCGGCTTTAACCTTTATTATTTCAGCTATTTATTCCCTCACACTGTTCTATAGCGTTGCTCGGCTTTAACCTTCATTATTTCAGCTATTTATTCCCTCACACTGTTCTATAGTCGTGGATTTGTATCGTGGTATGGGACGTCGCAGGTCGACCCAGCCTCAAATGGGTACCAGGATGAGCTGTCCTGGGAAAGTAAAGACGGCCGGCGTAATGCTGACCACATTACCCACAGAGTGCCGATTGGTCTGTAAAAATATGGGTGCTCTTCCCATATGCCCGATGCGCCTAAGGGCGTGTAAAGGGACCTTTACTTTTTTTTTTACTTTCTGTTCTATAGTGTTGCTCAGCTTTAACCTTTATTATTTCAGCTATTTATTCCTTAAGACTGATTAGGAATAGTAACAGCTTCGCTTCTAATAAAAAAAAACGAGTTAAAACCTGCTTGGTACTGAAAGATTTAAAAAGAAGCCTACAAGAGTTAACTAAAAGTCAGCATTACCTGAAGAAATTCTCCAATGTCAACCTGAGCATTTCTATTCAGATCCACTTCACTCAAAATCTCATGCAACTGGTCCTCGGAGATTCTCTCGCCATTATTCTGTCAGAAAGAATTAAAAAGAAAAAACATGTCTGATATTCAAATCAACAGTCTAAGTATTCAACTTTAAATAGGCTCCCACCCCAACGAGCACCTGGCAACTCCAGGTGTCATCATAATGCCTATTCCTTTCATGTGTTTTTTTTTGGTCTCTTTCTGAATTTAGGATGATTAGCCATCTTACCTCAGTTAATCCCAACTGGTATCTTTTCCTAATCATCTTTCTTCTTTGTGTTCACTGGCTGTAAACTCTGGCGGAAAGTTCTGGTTGTTCATCCACTTCTGGACTGCAGTCCTCCTATTCCAGAACCCGAGTGTTGCTTGTGCATCCGTTTGACAGATCTGACTAATTTGTATGCAGACTGTTGGTTCCTTGCCTCTCAGGCAGATGCACTCCGACTTCGAAGGAAGCTCCCAATTTGTCAACTCTTACCACATGCTTTTGGGCAGGCAGTGGGTCTTTTCTCCCCCCCCCCCCCCCCCCCCCTTTAATAGGGCCCCGGAACCCACACAGGGATCTTTCCCTAACATATCAAGCTGGTATATTAAAAAAGCACGGGGTATAAATCACACCTTGGGTAGGAAAGTGTACAAGGCGGGGGATTAGATTTGGTCTAGTTGACAGATCAGCATCATGGCACACAGGTGGAACCAATAAGTGCTTCGTTCTACTTCTAACTCAAGCCCGAGTCTAAAGAATCGCAGCACAGTGCACGGACTCTGTTGCACCGGTGAGGATCCTGAAATACTTTGGGTTGATTTTTAACTCAAAATGTTGTTAGGCTACTCTTTTTCGATTTCCAACTGCCAAGGTGTTTTCTATGTGTGCAACAATACACATGGGCATCCGATCTTACTACCCAGAGACAATACACACGGGCATCCGATCTTACTACCAAGAGACCAGGAAAAATTACTAGAGGTCAATGTGAAAAATTCCAGCCTTCACTGGGGTTTGAACCCAGGACCTCCAGCACTTGAGGCGGATGCCATGCCTTGAGACCCGGGTGGGAGAGCTGGCGAGAGACTGAGTTTCTTCCAGGCAGACAGGTAAGAGTGAATTCTGCAAAGGATAAGCTACATGACGGTGATGATGACCTCTTCATTTTCTATCTGGGCTAATTTTGTTGGAAAACTCAGTTACATAGTTTTAAAACCAAGTTACAGATTTTTAATTCTAGAGTTATTTCATTTTAAACAAACTCCATCACCTGAGCACATTTTGCAGACCTGCCCACTCTACCTACAACTCTGAAGAGAAACCTGGCCTCAAGAACAAAGTGTGCAGAGCAAGCTATGGGCAACCATAAAGGATCTGCTGCTGACATGTGAGTTCATAGAGGCAACCCACCTGATGGTCTGATCTGACATACAAAACTTATGCAAAGAAGAAAAAACAAATGCCAGTAAAAGCTGAATAACTACTGAAGAAACAAAACAAAAGTTAAATGCATTCTTATACACATGCTTAAGGAATTAATTAACATTAAATAGGATAAATGCACGCCTGAAACAGATTATCTATGTCTGCAATGTTGTCTCTAGTATGAACTTCACTGTCTTTTCTAATTCACTCAGCGACCCGTAAAGTCTGACTTTCACCGATGTTTGTTTAAGAGAAATGACTGGACAACTGTTTGTATAAACAGTTGTAAGAAAAATAAGATGGCAATATACTGAGCATATCCTGAGATGCGGACACAGAATCACAAAACAGGCACTGAAATTTGAAACAAATGCAGCAAGGAAACGAAGTTGTTCAAGAGAACCCTCAGTTGAACATAGCGAAAACAGTTTTTTTTAAAGTTGGATTTTATCCAAGCTATCACATGGACTTTTTCAAAAATGACCTTGACTCCCAGGTTGACCCAGCCTTGAGTGGATAACGGGTGCAATTTCGGGAAGTAAAGGCGGGTGGTGTGATGCTGACCACATCAAATCTTTGAAACATATGCTCTTACAAATAAAATGATTCTGCTTCTTCTGCTGCATGCTAAGCTGTGATAACTGTACCTTTCAGCCCAATACATCCTTTTCAGAAAACATTTAATTACATACCTTTTGTGATATGCACCCCTTGACCAAAACATCCCAGACACAAAACAAAACAGGCCAGATAAAACAAAACAGCCCAGATACAAACAAAGAGGAACTCACTTTAAAATATCTCCGCAGATCATTCACAGAAATATACCCCTTGTTATCCACATCCAAGGACTTGAACCTGCGCACATAGTGACTGATTTCATCCTTGGTTAACTTCAACTGAGCATTCGTCTCTGTCACACTTCTGACATCCAGCCCCATCTCTGTCCTGAGATAGTGCTCTGCATGAGCAAGTTCCGCCTGGCATTTGTCAAGTCAAAAACACCATGTCAGAAAGCCACAATCAAGCCAAAAAATAAGCTGAGCAAATTTAAAAAAAAAAAAAAACAATAAAGCTTTACAGGAATATTTCTTTTTTTTGTGATCAGTGTATTGTTCTGCCTTTTATCTCTTAATGAAAAAGAGGCCCTCAACCAACTCAAATCATGTTTTAAGACTTGTTTACCGACGGTTGGCTTTTGTGACTGAAACATTTTACAGAATGAGAAAGCCAAGTTCTATATCCACCCCTACCTGTCACCCTTCCTACCTGCTTTGTAAAGTGCAGCAAACAAGAGAAAGTAACTTATTTCTCAGCTTGCTAGGTTTTAGTGTTACAATTCTTTCAGGCCCCAGGTGAAAGAATCCAACAAAGCCTTTATTTTGAATGAATTATGCACCATGAGTTTGGCAGAAAAAGTCGCTGTATGCATGCATTCAGACAAGCATCCCATTGCCTAAGTAGGCGACAAATGCTCTCTGGAAAAAAAATTATTCGAGCTGCTCACAGAACAAAATGCAAACAAAAATCACATGGTGACAAATAGGCTGGATGTTGCAGAATTTCCCACTTCTTCCGTGCTAACGCTACCTGCATATGGGTGAGCATTATTATAGAAAAACAAAATCACACCCGCAAGAAAGCCTGCTGGGACGTTTTTCAAAGTAGTGGGTAGATTTGATATTGATACCCAGGTTCTTTAAAGTCTGCCAAAAACAGCCCTTCATGTTTTTAAAACAAAACGTGCTCACCATATTTTTACCATTGGAAACCTGTAAAACAAGAGAAGGCAACCTCTTGATTCTTCAACACATTTGTTTTTCAGACCCCATTGCCACAAGAGATAACTTTTTCATGTTTTATAGCAGGGCTATTCAAGTGGTGGTCCACATGGGCCAAATCTGGCCCACCAAGGCTTAGCAAAATGGCCCGCGGATCATCGCCATTTTTATTGTATTTCAATGCTGAGACTGGCCTCTGGCCCGTGACAATCGCTGTTGTCAAAATTGTGGCCCCTGAGTAAATAAAGTTGATTAGCCCTACTTTATAGTCTACACAAAACTATCTGGGAACTGTCTGGGAAGGAACTGGTTACCCTACTTTACATACCAGAGCCTAGAATGAGCCTAGAATATGTGAAGATTAACACTTCACATCTCTCAACAGCAGACCTGCAGAGGAAATATCTTTACCTTTACACCGTACACTATCATAATTTATAAACTGCAAAGAACTTAAAATTTCAACAATAACATTAAAGGGAATGCAGAATGGGAATCACAAAGCAAACATAACTACAGGATGTCCTATAAATTTCCATACATAAGAAAATCAAACATATCACTGACACCATTACAAACACAACTCTAGCTGTTGCGCTGTGTTCTTGACTAGTAGAGCACACACAGAGAAATGTGTTGTGTGTATGCAAACCTATGGGACACCCTGTATTAAATAGCAATCAACGGGTTTCAAACTCCTCTCTACTTTACCCCGATCTTGCACCTCATTCTCCGTCACAGATATTTTTCGGCAAAGTGCGGAATGTACAAAACTTGCTACTACCATCAGCAGCCTTCTCGGTACCAGCCTGCATGGGACAGACTAAACAAGGAGTCTGTTCATCCACCGAATCTGCTTTGCTTTCGACGACCACGTCTTTAGGATCCTTCGAGGAGGCAGCCTTAGGCGAGGGAGCTTCGACACAGGGACCCGTGCAGTCTGGGAGTACTTTAATGTTAGTTCCACAGGGGGTTATAACTGGTTCATAATCATCTCGCAGACCTGGACAAGCTGAACATCTATAGGCTTCTAGAATTGATTTGCCCATTTGTGTGCAGATAAACTCTTCTGCTTCCGACTTCTCTTGCTGAAAGTTTATTGATTACCACAATTTATAAAAATCTTGATGTAAAATTGTCCTACTGCTAAGTGAAGATTATGGGATCCATGGTAGGTCAGTGGCTGCAAGCTCACCAGCCAGCCCGACTTCTTCTTCTTCTTGGCTTTCACTGGCCGTGAACTCCAGCAGAAAGTTCTGGTTATTCATCCAATTCTAGACTCTGGTCTTGTTCCAGAACATCAGCTTTGCATTCACATCCATTTTATAGACCTGGCTTATTTATATGCAGATGGTTCATTCCTTGCCTCTCAGGCAGATGCATTCTGATTTTGAAATAAAACTCCTCTAGTTACTAACCTTTTTTGACATGCTTGTTGGGGGAGGGGAGGCAGTGGGTCTATTCTTTTTCTCCCTATAATGGAGAGCCAGAAGACATGTAGGGACAACACCAAAGAGATATGTATTGAGTATTTGTGTGAGTATGTGTGTGTGTGCGTGCGTGCACGCGTGAATAAATGGCTCGGCTGCTGGGTCCATCAAGCTTCAGGTAGGTTACAGGAGTATTTCCCAGCACTGGTGTCATGTTGACCCATTATCCACTGAGTGTCCATTAGTCTATACAAACATGAGTCTAGCATCATACGCTTGAGGCAACAATGGTGGAGAAAGGGTCCATTACATTTACTTTAGTTAGGGAGTTAGTCGACAGATTATCCTCACTGCACGTCGAACCACTCAGTCCATAAGTGCTCAGATCCCATCCTCAGTAAATGCCGTAGCTTGAGCGGCTAACGACACCAGTTCTGTGTTGGTTTATTATTCTTCTTTGACTACCCGTGTAGTGTTCTTGTTTTGCAACACTTCCTTTAACATGTTGTTCTTGCAGTCTGACCATGGTTGTAGATTCACAGTTCTCAGTTGGTTCACCCAAACGTCTTAACTCTATTAGAGCATTCAGTATATCAGCCTGGTCCATGAATTGTCCGGCTTTCACAGTATCCTTACCTGTAAGCGTATCACCTTGCTCATTTCCTTGTACCCCCCACATGTCCTGGCAAGAAAATGAAACTAATTCTAGTCAGCCGTGAATTCTGTAGAGCCACCAACCACTGCCTTCGGACCCAGCCCTTCTCTATCTTCCTGAGCATACTCATTGAGTCACTGAGAAAACATGCTCCAGTGAAAGTCTGTGTCTCTAGCCATGTTATTGCTTTAGTCACAGCCATGATCTCCAAAGTCAGACTACTTGTAATTACTGGGAAAGCTCCAGAATCTTCCTTCACAACTCTCCCTCCAAACCGAGCCATGAGAGCCCATGAGCTTTTAACATGGCGGATGACAGAACCATCTGTGCAAATGACAGCATCACCCCCTAGAGCATTCTCAAAAATCAAGTCTAGAACTTCTGCTTCCACAGCAGCCGGCCTCTGTTGTCTGCAATTTCTGTCTAGTTGGATGCAAAAAGAAAAATATGTACAGCACTCTGAAGGCACTTGCACCCGCTCCTCGCCGGGTTTTATGTTCTCAAGTGCAACTACCTTTAAAATAATGTCCTCGGCTTGACCCATCCACGATTTGCCTCTTTTTAACCTGCTGCCTTTCAACTTCTTGATTTGACTATGTAATGGATGTTATGTGTCCGCCTCGACTGTGAGGTAGACACTGCTCGGGAAATTTGTATTCTGTCTTCCATGATTGGAAAATCAAGAAGGTAGCACATAGCCCTGGATGCTGTACCTCTTGTACACCCAAGTATAATGCACATAGCCTCGTTCTGTATCCTTTCCATCTGCTTTTGGCTGAGAGTCCGGATCGCCCTCGAGTATTCAAAAATAGAGAGAACCAGACCCTGGTATAGAAGACATAGACAGTTTGCTGCCGCCATCACTCTCATCGCAGCCAGACCCCGCTTGGCTTTCAATATAATCTGATCTATGTGCTCAGTATAATCAAGGCTTCGATCAAAATGTATCCCCAGGAATTTCATTGCATTCGTTCTTTCCACATCCTCAGAACACAGACTAAATACTGGTGTTGGAGTTTTCACAATATGGTAATATAAAGAGAGTCATGGGACTGCCGCCTTCGTTGGGTTGACCAGTGCACCAGCTTCACCACACCAAGTGCTTATGCGATTGAGCTCTTTTTTTGTAGTTCTTCAGCAACCTTCTCTCTACACTTACCCTGACGATACACTAACACATCGTCAGCATATGTCAGTGTTCTTCCGCGTCTTGTGATTTGCTCGCCTGTGATTCTCACTCTGTAAGCGTTGAACAAAACAGGAGATAATGGGGATCCTTGTGGCAGGCTGGGATGTATTGCTGTTGGTTCAGAAGTCCAACTGCCACATCTAAACACTACTTTTCGTTGGAAGAGGGGGAAAGAGATCCAGTGAAGCAGGAATGGACTTATCTGGAGTTCAAGAAGTTGATACATTAAGAAATCCAAAGGTACTCTGTTGTACGCATCCTCGAGATCAATTGCTGCAGCACACGTTTCAATACCTGAGTGGAAACCTTCATACACATCATGATCAAAAACCGCAGCATTGGTCCATGTTTCTTTCTTTGGACGGTACCCTCCAAAGGTATTTGGAAGAGGACCTCATCTCTCAAGCTGGTGTGAAATTGTTCTGGCGATGATCTGTTCTAACAGCTTGCCTACAATATTTTGCCTAGTGATTATGGGATATCCCTGAATATTCATGTGATCTTTGCCAGGTTTTGGCAGGGGTATCAGATAGCTGTGTAACCACTGTTCACTGATATTAGCATTGGCACAATTATTGTTGTACATGTCTGCTAGCTCTTTCAGCTCACCTTCAGTTACACCCACTAATGTCATCATATCTTACACCATCTGGACCTGGTGCACTATTATTGTTGTACATGTCTGCTAGCTCTTTCAGCTCACCTTCAGTTACACCCACTAATGTCATCATATCTTACACCATCTGGACCTGGTGCACTATTATTGTTGTACATGTCTGCTAGCTCTTTCAGCTCACCTTCAGTTACACCCACTAATGTCATCATATCTTACACCATCTGGACCTGGTGCACTATTATTGTTGTACATGTCTGCTAGCTCTTTCAGCTCACCTTCAGTTACACCCACTAATGTCATCATATCTTACACCATCTGGACCTGGTGCACTATTATTGTTGTACATGTCTGCTAGCTCTTTCAGCTCACCTTCAGTTACACCCACTAATGTCATCATATCTTACACCATCTGGACCTGGTGCACTATTATTGTTGTACATGTCTGCTAGCTCTTTCAGCTCACCTTCAGTTACACCCACTAATGTCATCATATCTTACACCATCTGGAACTGGTGCACTATTATTTGTTCCTCGTAGCACAGCCTTGGTCTCATCCACTGTCACTAAATCACCGTCTGCAAACGTCTGTGACTACACCTATCAGAGATAATAGCTTTGGCAAAACTGCGTCCTGTCATATCGGTCTGGCTGCTCTGCTGCAGAAAGCGTTCTAATAACGCCCTGGCCTTATTTTTTGTCGGACCTCTGCCAGGTGAGGTCGGAGCACTGGAAGTCAGGAATGTTTTATTACATTTACTTTGCACACAACTCATTCAGTTCTGGAATGTTTCGCTGCAGGTGGCCATGGGGATAATTTACAGTTTGCCCAGGGTAACTGCAAAACAGCCACTTTGGTAGTCTCAAACTACCTGAAGCCTTTTTATAGTGATGTGTTTGTGAGACACCTAGTTAACACTGCTCGTTGATTTTGTGCCTGTGCAGAATTTACGGATCAGGACATAGATATATTTACTAAAAACAGCATTCAGGAGAGTTTGAGTGTGCCTTTTTTTTTTTAAAAGATGACGTAAAATTTGGCCATAAGTCTTAAATATATAGGTCATGGGGTCGCAGAATGAGTAACCTGATACATGTTTTTTCAAGGCCCATGGGAATAAATTCCATTTAATGCTTTACTCTATTTTTGTTTAATGATTACTCTCTTTATTTTTCTTTGTATAACCTTTAACAACAAAGTAAGTAAGTAAGTGTGTATGTGTGTGTTGTGTCTGTCTGTGTGTGTGTCGTGTTTGTCCATCTGACTGTGTGCGCACGCGCGCCTGTGTCCCCCCCACCCCACCCCCACCCCACTCCGCTCAACTTAACTACCCTCAGTGTTCACTGAAGCACAGTCTTTGCAGCTGAATTATGTTGTCTCACCACATTCTGAAACCAACCTAGCGTTGGGGGGGGGGGGGGGGGGGGGGGGGGGGGGGAACCTGACAGACTGCAGTCTTGGCATATCCAACAGCATACACACACATTAAATACATAAAGCAGCAGCAGAAGTGCCAACACCAACAGTCTGACACTAGAAATGCAGTTCATTGACAATGGAAGGAGCAGTTAGAACAGATCAAAAGAGCACAAGCAATTAATCGTATAAGACATCACAAAGTTCTCTGGCAATAAGCCATTCACCATTTTCTGAAGCTGCAGTTCACAACATAAACCACTTCAGGGACAGTCATAATGCATTTCCAATTCAATTCACAGCTCAGAGTTTCAAGTCATACACTCAGTTTAGCAGGTGGGCAACAGAACACTATCCTTTCAGTCAATATTGAGGAAAATAATCATTCCTCACCTGTTTCCTCTCCTCACTCCAGCCCAGCTCTGCAGCCATCATGTCTACGACCCTGGGCAGCGCTTCCTGGGCGGCATGCACATTGATGAAGGAGAGACGGGTTCGGCGAGCAATCACATCGATGGCCCGACAGGCGTACTCTCTCATGGCATATTTCACCTGGGGAAACAACATAATCAGATTTATCACAGGCAAACAGTGCTGTTAAAATATTTCGGACACAAACAATACAAGGCACAATTTACTGCCAGGTATATTTCGCTGTATCTCGTCAGGTGCATCACAACAGAGTTACATCAACATAAAAAGTAGCATTAAAAAAAACTGAATAAATCCAACTGAAATGCGAATGGTTTCTTTTGATGCCATCGTATTTGTCTTATAGCAGGAAATTCATGATAGTGACGTGACTTACCCGGATAACTTCAAATCTACTATAAATTGTACCTGCTTATAAAGATATGGGGTTGTTGATTTTAATTGTTAAAGCTGGATAATCACAAACAGTGTTGTTTCTCTTAATCTCCTCTCCACTTAGAACTGCAGACTGTAGAATTAACATCTTAAGGATGAGAGTTAAACAGCTACAAATTCCAGAAACCCTGTTTAACCACATAAACAAAGTTCCCCTAAAATGGAGAAAGGGCTTGGCAGAATGTCAAGCTTCGAAGTTATTTCTGCTTCGGACAGCACTTTGCTAATGCAGTTTCCACATAAGGATGGTGGTCAACGGTTTTGCTGCCTGAGCTACTGAGTTTAGTATTTGGTTGCAACCCTGTGAGCTGTGTTTTTTCTGTGGAAAGCCTTTCATTTGTGCAGTGGTTGTGTCCTGACATTGAATATGGCCAATACGAGTTGGTGAAATACCTTATTTAATCATTCTACGTGTGTGCAGTAACCAACTTATCGTGCCCGACTACTTCCATCAACGACAAACTGAATTTCTGGTGGCAATTGTTGGCTTTGGTGACTCTAGCAACTGAAATACAAATTTACTGCGTGTGCATATTTCTGGATAGTTCCAGGACTAGTTTGTTCACCAGTTTTACAAATGCGGGACATATCATTTGAGTTGTCCTGGTACAGGAATGGAGCACGTATGGGGAAACCTGACTATAGTGATGTTGAAACCTCGACCAAGTTACCTCCATTTGGCTCCAGACTGTTATGAAGTAACCTGCAGTTCTAGGTGGGCAAGTTAGCAGATTTCTGTGCCTTCTAGTTGCCTTTTTTTTTTGACATACTTCAGCAGCAGGTCTATTCTTTTATATACTTTTTTTTTTTTTTAAAGAAAAAAAGTGCTCTGAAACTCAGAAGGGAATGTCTGGAATGAAATCAAATCATTCTTTGCCTGCAAATTCTTTAAATATTTGGATTGCTGGCAATGCATGGTATGTTACGGCTCCTCTCTTTTACACTTTACCACAGCATAAAGTGTTCTCTAATATTTTATATTTGATCACAGCATTCGAAAAATCTGGCTTCCATGGTGTCCATTTTCACAGTATATTCAGCATTTTCACAGTACATCCACTCATGATTTTTCATAGTGACTACACCCTCCCTCTATGACCATCTGCTGTGACACATACCGATACTGAAAGAGTTCACCACAATGCTCACAGCACCACCTACCTCAGCCTCAACATAAGGGTACTCCTCATGCAGCCTCTTGCCCACTACCGGCCAGCGCTTACCAGTGAGGCTGCACAGCTTGGCCACCTTGAAGGCTTTATCCCCGTAAGTCTGAGCCAAATGGTAGGCTACCTGGAAGAGACCAGAGATCTACTATCATCATCATTATCTGAGCCAAACAGAGATTTACACAACATTAGGGGGGGGGGGGGGATGGTGGAATGATAGACCCACTGCCTCCCAAGCATGTTGTAAAAAGGTGACTAATTAAGAGCTTTCATTCAGAGTGCATCTGCCTGAGAGGCAAGGAACCAACAGACTGCACACAAAAGCCAGCAGACCCTTTCCCACACTGCTCTAAAAGGGGCACACACAGGTAGTCAAGGCTCCTGTGTTAGGAAACATCACATAGGAAGAAATTAAAGCTTTGTGATATTTTGGAATTGAAATAATATCACAATTGTAATATGACATTATAATAGTGATTACATTTCTAATGACAGAGGAAGACAAAGCCTTTTGTAATGGCATGGAGAGGTATCAACACATCAACTGATACACACAGCTGCAAATAGCAGATTGTGGAGAGGCAAGATTGTCCATCCAGTTTGCGTGAAAGCAGTTAAAAACAGTTCCTGCAGTCTAGTGAAGGTCCCACAATTACAGTACATACAACCAGAATGTAACAAAGTATTTAGCATCTTTCTTCTTCTACATTAACCCTTAAATGGGTGGCTGGCACACACATAGTGTTGTGGTTTACAGCTATGCTGCGATATCTGTGCCTTTCCGCCCAACATAACTGATTTCAAAACATTCCAAATTAGTCTTCTTTCATGACATGGTGAGGAAGCAGTTAGTCTTTTCTTGTTCCACCCAAAATAGGTCCCTAGAAATCACATGGGTAATATAGCTCCCATACACTCAGATATTATTTACTGAAGCAGACAGAGCATTTTTGGGTGTGTCCTGAATCATTTCCTTTAACTAATAAAAATGTTGTTGTACAGACAGAGCTTACAGCATTTTCCAGGCCGTAATCCTGGACCAGCCTGATGAACAAGGTAGGAGACCAGCCATGAGCACCGTCCAGCATCAGACCCTTTGTGCGGCATGGGCCACTTGGGTGCAGACTGCAGGTTTTGACTGCTTTGTCCACTGTCTCCTCAGCCATGGATCGGTAGGTTGTCCACTTGCCTCCTGAACAAACCAGTGAAAACACAGTAGTGGTCAGTGAGGATGACAAACTGGAGTAATGTGGATCCGAATGTGACAATCACATATATATCTGACTGATACATACAGATCTGAATGTAATAACTGCATCTAATTTGAATGCAACAATAACACATGGATCTGAATGTAGCAACAGAAAATGAATCTGAATGTAATAGTTACATCTCAATCTGAATATAACAAATGAATAATGATCTGAATGTAACTAAATAGAGATCTAAAATTTAAAATAATACTGAAATATAATGTGTCAATGACATAAAGATATGCTTCTGAATGTCACAATCAAACAGAAATCTAAATGTAACTATTATTTATGTGAGCAATAATGACAGTGAACATGAATGTAACAATTACACTGAAATCTCAGTGTATATGAAACTGAATGTAACAATTACATGAAATTTCAGTATGTATAAAACTAGGCGTAACAATTACACTGAAATCTCAGTATGTATGAAACTAGGCGTAACAATTACACTGAAATCTCAGAATATTGAAACTGAATGCAACAATGACAAGTGAATGGTAAAGACAGGAGACTATGAATATTTGTGAGTTATCATAAACATGTAGCAGGTCCTTTGCAGATCTTGTAAGAAGCATGTCAAAGTATGTCATAAGAAGCATTTCAGAGCATGTCATAAGACATATATCAGAGCATGTCATAAGACAAACATCAGAGCATGTCATAAGAAGCATGTCAGAGCATGTCGCAAGAAGTATGTCAGAGCATGTCATAAGAAGCATGTCAGTGCATGTCATAAGAAGTATGTCAGAGCATGTCATAAGAAGCATGTCAGTGCATGTCATAAGAAGCATGTCAGAGCATGTCATAAGAAGCATCTCAGTGCATGTCATAAGAAGCATCTCAGAGCATGTCATAAGAAGTATGTCAGAGCATGTCATAAGAAGCATGTCAGTGCATGTCATAAGAAGCATCTCAGAGCATGTCACAAGAAGCATGTCAGAGCATGTTATAAGAAGCATGTCACAAGAAGCATGTCAGAGCATGTCATAAGAAGCATGTCAGAGCATGTTATAAGAAGCATGTCAGAGCATGTCATAAGAAGCATCTCAGAGCATGTCACAAGAAGCATGTCAGAGCATGTTATAAGAAGCATGTCAGAGCATGTCATAAGAAGTATGTCAGAGCATGTCATAAGAAGTATGTCAGAGCATGTCATAAGAAGCATGTCAGTGCATGTTTTAAGAAGCATGCCAGAGCATGTCATAAGAAGCATGTCAGTGCATGTCATAAGAAGCATGTCAGTGCATGTCATAAGAAGCATCTCAGAGCATGTTATAAGAAGCATGTCAGTGCATGTCATAAGAAGTATGTCAAAGCATGTCATAAGAAGCATGTCAGTGCATGTCATAAGAAGCATGTCAGAGCATGTCATAAGAAGCATGTCAGTGCATGTCATAAGAAGCATGTCAGAGCATGTCATAAGAAGCATGTCAGTGCATGTCATAAGAAGCATGTCAGTGCATGTCATAAGAAGCATGTCAGTGCATGTCATAAGAAGCATGTCAGTGCAAGTTATAAGAAGCATGTCAGTGCATGTCATAAGAAGCATGTCAGTGCATGTTATAAGAAGCATGTCAGTGCATGTCATAAGAAGCATGTCAGTGCATGTTATAAGAAGCATGTCAGTGCATGTCATAAGAAGCATCTCGGAGCATGTTATAAGAAGCATGTCAGTGCATGTCATAAGAAGCATGTCAGAGCATGTCATAAGAAGCATGTCAGTGCATGTTATAAGAAGCATCTCAGAGCATGTCATACAAAGAATGTCCAAGGATGTCATAAGAAGCATATACGAGCATGTAAAAGGAAGCAACTTAGAGAGTTGGTGTAACACTGGCTACTTTATTTTATAGAAACTTTAGCTGCAAAATCCTCCCTATCATAAACAAGGGGCTTTATGTGCATTGGTTGGGGCCATTTGCTCCATGCGAAGACGAAAGAAGAATAGAGAACAAGGAAATAAAAGAAAAAAGAGGAGGAGGAGGAGAAGGACAAGAAGAAGCAGGAGAAGGACAAGAAGAAGCAGAAGAAGGAGAAGATGAGGAAGAAAATAATGAAGAGGAAAAATAATAAGATAAAGAAGAAGACAAAGAATACAATATGGCAAATTTTAAAAAGACAATGATGAAGACAAAAAGAAAAAAAAATTTTTACAAATTAAAAAAACAATAAAATATAAAAAAAAGCATCACCTGCAATGGTTATGAGTTTATTTTTGGCCACTTCAATGATATGGTTTCTGGCGATGGATTGAGTATCCGATTTGTTGGGATCTGAGACCAGAGGCCGAATACCAGCCCAGGCAGAGAGCACATCACCGCGGCGTACTGTACGAAATAACAACAACAAAACGCTATTTTGGATCAAACTATCAGCCCATGAACCATGTCAGGTCGGATGGAGTTAAAGGTGAACAAACTGTCTCTCAAAGTCACTACAGACCACAGCTATCCACATGTTAACAACACAAATAATATATCCCAAAATTAAACAGAGGTAGCAATTTCAACTCTTTGTGAACAGCGGTAGCAACAGACAATATAACAAACATAGCAGTTTGCATTATTAAAACAGAGGTAGAAATTCACACTGTCATAGGAGAAGTAGCAATTCACATCAATAATATAGAGGTGAAAATTTACAACACTCTAACAGAGCTAGCAAATTCACATCACTAATACACAGGCAGTAACTGACACCGCTAATACAGAGGTAGCGATTTACAAAACTATAACAAAGCTAGCAATTCACATCATGAATACAGAGGTAGCAATTTACATCACTATAACAGGTAGCAATTCACATCACTAATACACTGGTAGTGATTTACATCACTAATACAGAGGCAGCAATTTACAACATTAATACAGAGGTAGCTATTCACAAAACTAATACAGAAGTTGCAATTTACAACATTATAACAGGTAACAATTCCAACCATTAATACATAGGTAGCAATTTACATCCTTCAAGCAGAGGAAATAATTCACAACACTTATACAGAGGTAGCAATTTACAACACTCAACAAAGACAGCAATTTACAACACTCAACAAAGGCAGCAATTTACAACACTAAACAAAGGCAGCAATCTACCACAATCAACAAAGGCAGCAATTTACCACACTAAACAAAGGCAGCAATTTACAACACTCAACAGAGGCAGCAATTTACAACACTCAACAGAGGCAGCAATTTACAACACTCAACAGAGGCAGCAATTTACAACACTCAACAGAGGCAGAAAGTTCTGGATCAAGACCAAAGTCCAGAAATGTATGAAAAATCAGAACCTTCCACCGGAATTTACAGCCGGTGAAAGCTAAGAAGAAGAAGAAGACACAAATGGCAGTAGCAAAGTGTGGCTGGTAAGACCGGCCTGGTTCAAAAAAAGAATCTTAAAAAAAATTTGGTAACGCATAGCCCAGTCATGAAAACATAAGAATGATATAGCAAATGACGGCAGACAAATAAACTGACCTTCAACATCTGAGCTGAGATAGTTTCTAATCTCATTTAAGATAAACTGGATCTCTGTTTCAGTCGGCTGGGGGTTGTCGGTCACTTCACACGGTGTATCTGTGGTGCCTGGTCACGGATAAGATCATATGATATTGTCAGTTGAACTTATAAAATACTGATTTCCCTGTGTGGATTCCAAAGCTCCATTATTTTATGTGGGAGGAAGGGGTGGGGGTGGGGGACAGACCCTCTTCCCCTTAACAAGCATATCACCTTTACTTACTTAATCGCTTCTCTTCTACCTTGGGGTGTAGAGGTTTGCCTTCTTTATCTGCAGTTTTCTTTTTTTTTGGCTTTGTTCCATTCGAGTCTTCTGTTAGTAAGAGACTGTCAGACATTGTCTTCTCAGTAGAGCCTGGGTTGTCATTGTAGTCTGAATCTTTGGTTCTTGGCCTCCCATGCCTGCAGTGGTTGCCGATTCTCTCCCATTTAGCATACATGACCAAATCTCTGTAACTGTGACTGATCCACTCCAGTTTGTAAGGCCTGGGTTTCAAGGTCAAGGAGTATTGTCTGACGGCTGACTTTGTCCCTTCTTGTCACTTGGACCACCTTTCTCAGATGCCGCATTTCTGAGGACTGAAGCTGACTTCTGTGACCTGTTGTCATTGCCAATAACTGGAACCCATATGTCAGGACTGGCACATACGTAGAGCGGTATGCAGCTATTTTCTGTCCCCTTGCTAACTCCCTTTTGGTGAGAAGCAGGACCTTATATATCTCCCTCGACACCCGAAGGGGTAAAAGAGGACATAAAGAAGAAGATGGATGATGTGGTAAACATCACTACGGCTGCCTTTACTTCCTAGGACATTACCTGGGTCACATTTTAGCCTGTGGTGACCTGGAAGCCAAGGTAAATATGTGATTTAATAAATCTGTTTTAATGTGGATTTGACCTCTAGACCTTCGGGTCACCAGAGAAATGTCTAGCTGCTTTACTACCATGGGTCCCATATCTGATAAACTTTTTTATCAACAAATGATGATTTATAAATGATAATTTCTTTTCTTCTTACAGTCCATGCTGTGTGGTGTGGTAGTCGTGTCTTTCCACAACTTTCTGTCACGTGTACTTTTAATCAAATTCGACATAGATGATCTTTCTTGCCATGATGTCAAACTTTCAAGTATCCTCTCTCTCGATCTCCGCTTCTTTTTTCCTCCAACTTTCCCACCGTTCAAATATACTCCAGTTTTCTCCTTATCATGGCACAACCAAAGGATTTAGATTGTCTCCTGATGTCAACAATCAGTTCTCTTCATGAGACAGTTTCTTTCAAGACATCTTCATTACTCTTCTTATCTGTCTTATGTATTCTCAGCATTCATCTGTAAAACCACATCTCTGCCACTTCCAAAAAATCTTTCACTGTCCAACTGACCATGATTCCCTTCAGTATATCAGGATAAGATTTATATAATAATTTCCACTAAAGCACATATCTTTTTTTTTCTTACGGCCCTACCCGTGCAGTGTGTTCTTGGCCATCATGTCTGACCACAGCCTTCTGTCTCCTGCACTATCAATCATTTCTGACACATATGTTCTTCAATGCCATGATGCATTTGTTGTTGGCACCTTTCCGTCTTTCCAGACGATAGTGTTATGTGTTACAGGAAGGCACGGAAAACACAAGACATAGCAATGGCGAGTGTGACTAGCAAAACCTGCCCGTGTTAAGAAAAGTCTTCCAAACAGGACAAGGGATGAAGTTCCTTCTCTCCATAACACAAAGTCTTGGCAGACCATTTAATGCTCATGCATCATAATCCCATTCTTGGCCTGCCTTGTTTACTCCAAAGAAAAAGTAACACCAATACATTTTGGAGTAAAGAGATTGCAGAAGCTACTGAATCAGAAGAACAGTGCTCTAACTGTCCACTTGTCAGAGCTTCCTGTTAGACCAGCTGTAAGCCAAGGCTAAGGGCCTGGTCTGCCCTGCTTTAACATAAAGTTTTCAGGTTGCTTTTCCTCTACCTAGGATACAACTAGTATCTTCCCCAACACACTCCTCCGCCCGAAGCTGTTGGCGTAATGTGGGATCTCAGGTTTGGTATATGCCGCACAACTTCGAGAGTTAACTGAAAACAGGTAGTACCAATTATTGCTATGCAATAGCTCAGTCATATCTGACCAAAACCTGACCTGATGCATGTGGCATCACTGTCCAACATGTTTTCTCTCTAAGCTCCCTCCCCGTCTCTTTCCTCTCAAAGTTTCTCCTCGTCACAATGTACTCCAGCAATTGTCATTTTTACAGTGAGAATAAAGAATGCAGTTATCATCTTTAAATTGTTTTATATCTTCACCGCAGTTTTTGTAAACGGCCCACAGTATTCCCATTCTCTATAAAATGCTCTATATAGAGCTACTCTCTTTCTCACCTCAACTAAGTTTAAGGGGGGAAGTTCCATATCCTTTATAAGACACTGCAGAACCAGCATTTTCTGCTGTTTTACTAAGTAAAGTCCATTCAGTAGTTTGCGATTGTTCCTGAAGAGTCGGCACCCCATACCACTGACAAAATCAGCGCAAAGTGGTCTTCTGTCAAATCGCCCATTCAATTCTCATTATGCCTAGTGGCACATGAGGCTTTAGAGAGGACTTTCCATGCTTTCCTGTCCTGTACAATCTTCAGTGCACTTTTCAATGTCAAAGATGCCGCACTCAGGTCACTCTCCATTGTTCGTCTCCATGTTGTTTTTGGGCGCCCCTTCTTTCTCTTTCCCTCTGGTGTCCATGTGAGAGCTGTTTTGGCAGGTATATCAGGATTCATTCTCATAACATGGCCAAGCCATTTCCATCTTCTCTTGGTTATCATACTGTCTGAAGTTTCTTGGTTTGTGACTTGAAGTAGTTTAGTGTTTGAGATTGTATCTGGCCAGAAAATTTTGATAATTCTACGTAGACATGTGTGGTAAAAGCTTGAGCACATTTTTTTCGGTCATTTTCCAGCATTCTGCTCCATAAAAAAGAACTGGCAAAATGATGCTCTTGTAGAGTGGCAGTTTCATTTCTCTGCAGTAACTATTGGATTTCCAGATTTGCCTCATCCTTCCAAAAGCAGCTCTAGCTTTGTTCAAGCATGATTGTATGTCTTCCCCTGTCCCTCCCAGTAGGGACACCACACAGCCAAGTTATGTGAACTGTTCTACATTTTCAAGTGTTTGGTTTTTTATGGTCACCGCTTGTTGGTTTGGACGGGGCCCCCGTGTGGGTTCCGGGGCCCCATTGTGGGGAAAACAAGAATAGACCCACTGCCTCCCCAAAAGCATGTCGTAAGAGTCGACTAATTGGGGAGCTTCCTTTGAAGTCGGAGTGCATCTGCCGGAGAGGCAAGGAACCAACAGTCTGTTTTCAAGAGAATGAGATCTGTAAAACTGATGCACACGCAACACTCAGGTTCTGAAGCAGGACTGCAGTTCAGTAGTGGACGAGCAACCAGAACCTTCCGCCAGAGTTTACAGCTGGTGAACGCGAAGAAGAAGAAGAAGGAGTTGGTTTGGACTGTTTGTCATGATCTTAGTTTTCCTTGTGGCTGGAATCAAACCAATTATTTCTGAACTCCCAAGTGCATTTCCAATGCCTAAGCCACAGCCGCTGACAAGTGACAAAAAGAGACTGCATAAAAAAATCCTCATCCTGTGAAATGCTGCTTTTACTGTTCTATATTTAACTTCTTTAATACACAGTGTGTCGGCATTATCAAGGTACCTTTAAACTTATTTCATTTACTTTAAGCCTGTTGCCCGGGGAGGGAAGGCAATGTGACATCACAATAAATGTATGATGACGTCACTTTGCTCTATGTGGCTGTGTCAACAAAACCTCTGTTTTCTGGTCAAACGGAAGGAAATTAGTTATTCCTCTGTTCTATTCACATTCAGTAATCACCTCACCTTGGCGCTGTCTCTTCACGACTATCACTTGCATGCACTAGCACTTGTTTACCTGCAATTGTGACATTCTGCCAGGGAAGAAAGAAGATCACCCTTCCGTCAGAAGTCGAGGGGTCCAGGAGCCCCATGTTTGCCGGGCTGTAGTAGTCAGGTAGGACTATATGGACACCAGCCGCCGGCTGGCAGATTTTCTTCACCTTCTCATCCCCCATGGTTCGGATGGAATCCGTGTATGGCCCGGTGGCATTGATAACACATTTTGCTCTGATGGTGTATTCTTCACCTGGATAATGAAGGAAAAAACACAGGTACTTCTTCTTCTTCTTGTTCACCGGCTGTGAATTCCGACGGTAAGTCACGGTTGTTTGTCCAAAATGGACTTTTGGCTTTTACCTTGACGTGAGTTTTGCGTGTACATCCGTTTTACTGGCTTATTTGTTTGCAGTACTCGTTCCCCGCCTCTCCGGCAGATGTACTCCGACTTCGGAGGAAACAACACAGGTACTGTTATTAGGTGAAAGTTCAGATTACCCGCACATAAGTGGAGCCTAAATAGGAAACAAAGAGCACTGAGAAACAACCATATTTTTAATCTATTCCTCTCCTTGCAAATGAATAACAAAAAATAAAAACAGGCAATTTTAGTGAAAGTTTGGATCACTCACACATTACTGCAGCCTAATTAGGGAAACAAAGAATAGTGAAACGAAAAGTAATGCATGTTTCTAACATATCCATCAGGAGTCACTGAGGCGCTGGTGGCTAGACGCCTGCATGCGGATTAAAAGGTCATGGGTAGAGCCCTGACTGAGCCTATCTCTTTTTTTTTGTATGACCCTGACTCCCAGGTCGACCCAGCCTTAAGTAGATACCAGGTGCAGTTCTGGGAAGTAAAGGCGGCCGGCGTGATGCTGACCACATCACCCACTTAGTGCTGACTGGTCTATAAAAATATAGGTTTAGCCCTATATTCCCAATACACCTAAAGGTGTGTAAAAGGGACCTTTACTTTTAACATAAACCTCTCCCAGGAAATGAAGAAAAAATCATAGGCACAGTTATCAGGTGCCAAGATCATCCACATATTATTATTGCAGCCTAAAACTGAAACAAAGAACAGTAACACTGGAATTCACTTCACCTTGCATGCTGTTTGATATGACTAAAAAGGGTTAACTGAATGTGGGACTGATCACTTCATCCCACAAGAAACTAGTAGCAAATCAACTATTCATTTTGAACCTTTTTGCTCCAAGAAGTTGACAAAAACCAAAACTTCTGCTTCCCCGTAAATATCATTTTTCTGACTTGTCTATATATAGTGACGTGTTTACGAGATGCATAGTTAATACTACTGGCTGAGTTCCCACCTGCTAAAAAATTCAGGAGGTCAGGAAATGAATACATTACCTAGCAATAGCATTTAGGGGGTTTTCCTTTGAGTTAAATGGTTTTTTTTTCTACGACTCAGTAACAGAAGTCACAGCGTCACGGCATGAGTCACCCAACACATGTTTGTATTTTAGGCCTCAAGGATGTACTCCGTTTAATGTTTCACCATGTTTGTGTTTGTTGGTTATGCATTTCACATTTCTTTACTAGATTTCATTGCCTGGCTTTGCCCAGGATAGTTAGAGAAAATTGTATTCTTCCGTCCTCTACTTCACATCTATATCTCCACCGCTGCCGTATGTTGTAATTGCTCTAACTGCACCTGAGGCTCTAACCGCCCCCTGGGTCATGCACATTAGTCATAACAAAGCCTGTGACTGAGGGTCATTGATCTGGGCTGTTTCAAATACTGGTTCAAGGGAAGTAAACAATCAGGCTCCAAGGGCCCTTGTTAAAGTGTGCAATAAAGGTACGCAATAAGTATTATTATGTTGTACCAAGTAAAAAGGACCTTGGCGTACACATCCACTTATCAGATACATGTCTAATAAATCTCGAAAAAAAATGATCTGTTATGTATCAAGGGAGATAACAGTGAAATGTAATTTTAAAAAATAAATGTAAGGGACAGACAAGAACATAAATATTCAGAAGGATATAATAGCAGCAAACCTTTACTGTTACTGAATGTTAAATTAAATAAAAGAAATGTGCATAAACCTGGCTGCCAATATGACTATAAATTAAATACTGTAGCCATAATTGCAACTGAAAATCTAGCCTGACAAGTAATCACAGTTTAGGAGGCATTACCAGCTAAATTAAAATGTGCACACAAACTACAGGAATGCATTTCTTTTTAGAATAGATATATATTTCAAAACATAATTTAATATAAATTTATTAATGACCAATTTTAACACTGCTGATGTTTTTATTCCAATTCCAATTCCAGTTGTCCAACAAAAATTCAAAATTTGATCCTTTTTCAGCTGCCCGGAGGCCTGCTATATGAAAGAAGGTTCCTTGGTTATCTTATTTGGTTTCCTTTTATTTGTGGTGTGTAGTCACACCTGATATTCCGGTTCTTTGCTTCCTGAGTCCGGTGTGGTGCTTGTGGTTTTTGGGTCTGATATGGTCTAGCCGTTTTAATAGATATTTTCTTGAATTCTAAAGGTATCAAGATGTTCTTTCTTAAACTGCTTGAGGGCTAATGTGGGACTAGGTGATAAAAAAGGGAAGAGGAAGAAAAGGTAGAAGAAGGATGAGAAGGAGGAATAAGAGAAACAAGTGTAGCATGAAAAAGATATAAAGGAGGGATGAAGAAGAATGTGGTGATTCATACAAAAGTGGAGGAGGAGGAGAAAAAGAAGAAGAAAACTAAGAAGAAGAGAGAAACCCCTTGATGACCAGGAGCCAGAATACATAACAATGAGTTCTCACCAGTTAACGTGTTTATGACTTTGGCTCCACATATTTGGTCCTTTCCATCGATGCATGTCTTAATGAGACTCTCCACCCTGGTATAGTTTAGACACAAGGCACCATGCCTGACTGCTGTTATGGCTAAAGAGACAGCCATTCTGGCATCATCATGCTGGCCTAGAAATTTAAACACAAAGATTATATCATGTTAATATTTTGTGTTACTAAATAAAAACAAGGTTAAACTGACAATCGTGAAGATCCAGTTTACTGAACCAATCAACACTGGATCGGTGATGTCATCAACATGATGCTAGTTGTCTTTACTTATGAGGACATTACTTGGTACTCATTTTAGGCTGGGTCAACCTGGGGATCACTAGATTTGATCCGATATGATCTGATCTTTCTCCTCAAAACTAGCACCTGCCAAAAGTGCCAACAAAGCATAAACTCCATAGTTCCAGTGACAATCACAAGGGATGTCCATTAAAAACTGTGCTCATGAACTGAGTGATCCGTTCATGAAACAAAACTATAATCTTCACAGTAGGAGGAAAAAGGCTTGACGAACTTGCCATGGAGACCTCCAAAGCTGACTAAATAATTTTGTCTAATCATGAAATCTGATACATGGCCTATGATGCCAACTGCTGTATAAAAATATGGGTCTAGCATTAAATGCCTCAATAGACTCTTTAGTTTTCAATGTAATAATGATAGATAAGATTAGGATTGATGAAATCTGAAGGATAATAGTGGTAGCGGCAGCTCTTGAATTTTTTAGAAGACAACAGGTGAAATGGTTTGGCCATATAATGTTGATGTCATCAAATAGTCTACCCCAGCAAGGAGTGATGTTCAGACCAGGTGGGAAGACAAGAAGAGGCCAACCATGCAAAAAATGGACAGAGAGAATTAAAGTCCCTGGGAATCCCCATTTACGAAGCACACAAACTGGCACTTTCTGTAAAATTATACCTTCTCTCGACACCGCAAGGTACCAGAGGATCAAGATGAGATGCGATGAGGTCCTTTAGCTTCAATTAATTATAAAAAGCTTAATCCACTGACTACTATGATCGCACGTTATGGGATCGACTGACGTTCAGACTTAGCTACTTTAATCACACCCCCTGTGATCGTAACTTTGGACGCTTGCTGTGATGGTAAAATCAAGACTTTTGCTATTAATTTAGCTTGAAGCTATTAGTCCATTTACTTCTCTGTTTCTTTAAAGAAGACACTGTAATGCTCAAAGTAAATTTCGCTTGAATTGTATCCCTTGTCGATGATGTTAGACGGATGTTTTCACCATGGTGTCCCCATTGCCAGAGCCATCACGGTGGCAACATTTTAACGAATATTTATGGTGCTATAGTTTTCATTATTTGTAAACTCATGACATATTAAGAGAATAATTATTGATGGGTTCAGGTGTTATTGTGGAAGAATCTTTTCGCAGAAGGACTGTGAACTGTTTTTTTATTTTTTCAAATGTCTTTCTATTTCAGTGTAGCACGGTTTCCCTGCCTTCAAAATGTTGTCTCATCTGGACTTAGTTTTTGTGCTGCTAAAACTTTGGGCCTGCCTTTTCTGTTAGCTGACGATGCTGATGTCTCATGGCTTGATGACGCTAATGATAAAAATACTGACAATGACAAATGTGACATCTTACATCAGCTGGCCCTGTGTTGGTTCTGGGACCCTATGAAAGGGAAAACAAGAATAGACCCACCGCCTACCTCAAAGCATGTCGTAAGAGTCGACTAATTGGAAGCTTCCTTCAAAGTCGAAGTGCATCTGCCTGAAAGACAAGGAACCAACAGTCTGCATACAAATGAGTCAGATTTGTCAAATGGATGCACACGCAACACTCAAGTTCTGGAACAGGACTGCAGTCCAGAAGTGGACGAACAATCAGAACTTTCCACCAGAGTTTACAACTGGTGAACGCAAAGAAGAAGAATATCAGCTGAAAAAAAAATACCATCATAATAGACCAGGGCAGCTTTCAGCTTGTCCTTCTGTAACATCGGGAAGAATTCAAGGGCTCTACTCTTGCTGAGCAGATAGCTAGGCTTGAGTACCTCTCTTCCGGCCACAAAGTCATACATCTTGATCCCTGCCCAAAAGTAGGGCACCTGCCACCACCTGCAATGAAAGAAAGTATATAGTTTCCAAACTTTAGTCAGACATGTTTATTTCTGACCAAAAAAGAAAAAAACTTCAATTAGGTTATCGAGGATTCTGTCTTTTTTTTTTTGTTCATTCCATCTCGGGGACTCAGAGATTTCGCAGGGAATTCCTGAAAAAGTCCAATAGTATAGGTGTGTTTGGGTGTGAAATTAACACCGACTAACACTAACCCTGACATCCCCCCCCCCCCCCCCCAATATTGGACTTTCCTGGGAACTCCCCGCAAAATCTTGGGAGTTGTAAATAGGTGTGAACAAAAAGAGAAGTAAAGAGAGTTCTAATCTGGGTCTCATGTAAGAGAGCTAGGCACTTTACCTCTCAGTCAGTCACTCCACCACTTTAGTAAAGTATTATTTAAAGGACCAATTTCACATCATTAGCGCATGGAGCATTAAGTATATGATAATCACCAGGGCTTGCACAGAACAGAAGGAATAAACTTATAAAGATCACAAATGTGGAACGCTGAGAGAAAACTAAACAAATCCCAGTGAATCTAAGAGTTGAGGAAAAGTTGCTGGTGCTACAGATGCTAAAATCCAGGCGCTCTTGTACTAAAAGCCCCCCCCCCCCCCCCCCCCCCCCCCCACGTTTAGGTAGGGGAACAGCCCCTGCACCCTGAAAAAAAGAAAATGGCTAAATGTTCCCTCCCACCATGAATAAATATTCTCGTTTTAAGTATCTTTAATATATTTTATATTTCAAAAATATTACCATATATATATTTGTAATTCAGTACATAATAAAAACATTATTATTATTTATGTTTCCTGAATCCTGCCCCCACCCTCTTTAGAAAAAAAAATAAGGGACTGAGGACAAGCATGCCGGCTACAGAGCTAAGAAAGAAGATATGCCGATCAACTCCTACTGAGTTCAGAGAGGATGGAGACCATGAGATGGCTGCTGCATCAGAGGATGGAGACAATGAGATGGCTGCTGCATCAGAGGGTGGAGACAATGAGATGGCTGCTGCATCAGAGGGTAGAGACAATGAGATGGCTGCTGCATCAGAGGGTGGAGACAATGAGATGGCTGCTGCATCAGAAGGTGGAGACAATGAGATGGCTGCTGCATCAGAGGGTAGAGACAATGAGATAGCTGCTGCATCAGAGGGTGGAGACAATGAGATGGCTGCTGCATCAGAGGGTGGATACAATGAGAATGCTGCTGCATCAGAGGGTGGAGACAATGAGATAGCTGCTGCATCAGAGGGTGGAGACCATGAGATGGCTGCTGCATCAGAGGGTGGAGACAATGAGAATGCTGCTGCATCAGAGGATGGAGACAATGAGATAGCTGCTGCATCAGAGAGTAGAGACAATGAGATAGCTGCTGCATCAGAGGGTGGAGACAATGAGATGGCTGCTGCATCAGAGGGTGGAGACAATGAGATGGCTGCTGCATCAGAGGGTAGAGACAATGAGATAGCTGCTGCATCAGAGGGTGGAGACAATGAGATGGCTGCTGCATCAGAGGGTGGAGACCATGAGATGGCTGCTGCATCAGAGGGTGGAGACAATGAGATGGCTGCTGCATCAGAGGGTGGAGACCATGAGATGGCTGCTGCATCAGAGGGTGGAGACAATGAGATGGCTGCTGCATCAGAGGGTGGAGACAATGAGATGGCTGCTGCATCAGAGGGTGGAGACAATGGATTGGCTGCTGAATCAGAGGGTGGAGACAATGAGATAGCTGCTGCATTAGAGGGTGGAGACAATGAGATGTCTGTTGCATCAGAGGGTGGAGACAATGAGATAGCTGTTGTATCAGAGCATGGAGACAATGAGATGGCTGCTGCATCAGAGGATGGAGCACGAATGAGTTGGACTGATGTGATAGGAAGACAACAAGTAACAATTACCCAAGAGCCAAAAGAGTCACACAAAATATAACCTGCCATTTCTAGGAGTGAAAAAGTCTTGGCACTGTCTAAGCAGACAGTATTGATAGCACTTATGTAATAGAGAAAGGTCATTGCTTGTTTGTTATTAGATATTATTAGTTAGTATATGGCGCAGTGACGGGATGTAAGGAGATCAACAAGTTTTGGTAACCTTCATTTTCCCGCCAAAACTAAATATTGACGTTATCACTTGTTTGTCAGGAGATAGAAAATTGCAAATTAGTTTATATGAAAAAAATCAACAGCTCTTAGCAATGTTATTTTGTAAATAGTATTTGATGTCATTGTTGGCCTTGCCCTTTCAGAGAGAACCAAGTAGCACTTGTTTTGTAGGAGTCTATTGACGTCAGCTGTCAATTTAACTACTATATTTGCGCAGAATAGGATGATGAAATCTGATGCAATCGAGATATTATTAGAAAATCCCACATGAGAACGCATAGTAAACATGTTGAGACTTACTAGAATATTCTAGAAGCAGAGAAATTGAGAAGAAAACAAATAACTAGCATTCCAGCATCCAAGTATAAAATAATGACTGAGAAATCACTAGAGTAATTTTTGTCCACAAGACTCGACCCTCAGAGCAAACCGACACTTGTAGAGATGTCAGCTCAACTCTAGAATCCTTCAGTCTACAAGACTTAAAGAGAAGAGGGACTAGTCCAGAGAAGAGACGTGAAAAAAGACATCGAGCTACAGACACAACACACAAGATACCTGGATCCATGGTTAACAGAGACACATTAGGAACACTGTTGAGATGTTAGAGTCGACGATCAAGCCGTTAGTACCAAACAGCACTAGAAGCCAGGTGGCAGTTAAAGACACTAGAACCAGTTAACAAAGTAACTAAAGATGAAGAACACAACGCGAACCTACGAGTATGTAACCATAGAGAGAACACAGCACCTTTTAGAAAATATCATTGATGATGTTCGTAACATTGCTGAAGTATCACAATAAAGACAGTATAGACAAGACGAACCTGGGTGTGACATTAATGTACACAAAGAACGGAGCTGTGCTACACTTATCACACATCGAGGATTTGAAACTGTGCTACATGTGAAAATTTTCTAGCCAGATTTCTTTAGTTTATTCAGTTCAAAGACAACGGATACAAAACACAGTAAGGATTGTGCGTCACAAACTGACAACAGGTGATCTTCTTTCTTCTTCATGTTCACTAGCTATAAATTCTGGTTGTTCGTCCACCTTTGGACTTTAGTCATATCCCAGAGCCTGAGTGCAGATCCATTTTACAGATCTAACATAACTGTATGCATACTGATGGTTTGATTCAGGAGCGGAGCAGTTATGGGGTGACCCGTTTGCTATGAAGCTGAAACTAGGATTACCAGATTACCAGATACCGTTGGTTTCTTGCCTCTTGGGCGGATGCATTCTGACTTTGAAGGAAACATCCAATTATTCTACTCTTTCAACATGCCTGTTGGAAAGCCGTGGGTCTATTCTTGTTTTCTCCACAATAAGGCCCCGGAACATGTCCAGGAACAGAAGATGACATACAGTGTATTGCTTGAAATAATCATTACACCATGTTCTAATTATGATAGATTTTAACGAAACACAAACAAGCGCGTCCCATCTTCACAACGGAGGATAGCTGCAGGAAATCCACTGCCATCTATGGTGCTGGCTGCCAGGTGCCACAGAAAGCCATGCTGAGGAAATATTATCGACACAGAGCAAGGAGAAGACTGCACACACAAAAACGGAGATCAACTTAGACAACACATTAGAAAAAGCACACGGAAGATCCTCACATTTATTTAGGAATATTATGTGGTGACGACTACATTTCTTTCCCTCATACTAATGTTGAAAACTTTTTTTTTAAAACAATTTTAACATAACAAATCTCACACATAAAAATGGTCAGTTACTCACTGATAGACTGGCAGCATGATAGGTAGTGGGTAGGCTAAATGTGGTGCTATATTGATTAGGTTGGCACGCTCAGCAAGGGCTTCCTTCACCATTTTGTACTGTCAGGGTGGATGGACAAACATAAGAAAAGAAAAAAAAAATGGAAATACGCTCATATTCTAATATCAGAACAGACAGCAACACAGACATGGGCACACAATCAAATGGATAACACTACAGACAAGAACACACACAAAACAATGTTATGACAAATACTGAAATAAACAGATAACTATAGAAATAGATGTTCTGGTTCTATCCTAATATCTCCCCACAAACAGAGAGTCCAATATTTTAGGGGGTGGTAGATAGGCTGCATGCAGTCGTGGGAGCTAGGCTGCACTCTCTCATGGGATGTAGGTGGGTTAGGCCCAGTTTTAGATGTTTTGGGGTAGTTAAAAGAATCAGAAAGCTGGGAAACCTACTCTTACCACCCTCGAAAAAATATTGGAATGCCCTATGACGTCATCCTGGGGGATTGGGGGGGGGGGGGGGGGGTGATTTTGGGAAAGCACCGATTTTGTTTTAAAAAATCTTAACTAACAAATTGCCACTACTGCCTGCATTTACTACTTTTGCAGTTTAGGCGGGGAGGTCATTGAGCCTGAGGATTAAGGGTAAGGCTAGTGCTGTCACCAGGGACAGTGCAGTTTACGATCTTATTTTTGCACACAGCTCCCCTCATGTCTTCCCTTACTTTTTAACTTCATTCTCTAGCTCCCTTCTCCACATTTTTTTGGGTCTCATTTTTTTCTATGCCCCTGTGGGCACACCGATTGGTCCAGAAAAATATTGGTGTGACACTGTAAGCCTGGCTGATGCTGTGATGTAGCTCGCCTGCGGATCCGAATGTCATGGGTTTAAATCCACACGGAGTCACATTGTTATCAAACATGACCCAAATCAACCCAGCCTTAAATGGGTACCAGGTAAAGTCCTGGAAAGTAAAACTGGCCGGCTTCTTTAGGAGGAGGAGGAGGAGGAGAAGAAGAAGAAGCAAGATGGGAGGCACTATTTACTGCTCTTTTTTCAAGATTTAAACAACCTGAGATGGGTTATAAGTCTTTTTTACACAGAAAAACCAGAAATGACAAAAAGGCAACTAAAAAAAATCTGACAATACACGTATAAACTCTTACTTGTTCAATATCTAAATTAAAGACCGCCTTCTGTAAATATCTCACACCTCCATGGATTAGTTTGGTGCTGCGACTGCTGGTTCCCGAAGAGAAGTCGAATTTCTCCACTAACCCTGTCTTTAATCCTAAGGAGAAAGAAAGAGCTAAACTTTTACTAATGAAAATAATGTTTTTAATATTATGCATATTCATGAATATGTTGATACAAAGTCTCAACTACTCATGAATATTATTATGCACTACCGACATACTGGCCTACCTGTATATCCAAAATACACACAATTTAAAAAAAAAGACAATCTTTATAGTGAAAATGAAGTATTATATTTGTTCATGAAAATACACAGACAGTAAATATAAATTCTAACTTTAAGATAGCGAGAGTAAACCAAACAACAACCAAAAGCTCTGCTTGGTGAAGCCCTACTTCAATATGAGGAATCATACACTTATTTAGGCAGCAAAAGGCTCAAGACGGAAGAACAGATAGAGATATTAAAAGATTAATACCAAAAGGTGCAAAAATTTGTTTGTTTTTTACCAGCTGCTGAAACAGCTCACTCATCATGCGCCGATTTAGCCACTGGGTTGTAACCAACTAACACGTGATGCGTTCCTTGGGACCAAATGGTGGCGGGAAAAAAAATTAACCACTGGAATAACTGGACAAATCATTGTGAAGAATGCTGCTGAAAAAGTAATGTCACTGGAAAATAGATAAATAATTGCAAAGAATGCTGCTTTAAAAAAAAAAGTAATGTCATTGGAAAAATGGATAAGTAATTTAAAGTAGGTAGCTGGAAAAACAAGACAGTCACTGAGATCATTTGAAAGAATGCAGCTGAAAAAGCAGTGTCAACTTATAAATGGATAAACTATTGTAAAGAATGTTGCTGATAAACTGGTGTAATTGGATGGTTTAAAACAGTTTCTGAGAAAGTGAACTTTCTGGGCAAAAGGGTAAAGCTTTCTAGAAAGCACAGTAAAAGCACAAATAGTCAAAGAAGAGTAACAAACCTCTTGTTACAGCATCCAAAGCCACACCCAACCCAGTAGCTCCACCCCCAATAACCAGAACATCCAGTTCCTCAGACTGGATTCCTTTGATCAACTCCTCTCGTGACGGCAGCGGTGCATTCATTTTCTGAATTTCTTCTGGACTGCATCTTGTTACAGAGCTATTCTGAAATGTCACAGATGTCAAATAATTTCAGTATGTATGTAATTTACCATATTATTATTCAACACATTGTACAAAAGTAACAAAAATGCAGTGGAGGTCCAAGGGGTAGTCAAGAGAGACGTAAAACTGGCGCATCTCTAGGTAGGAGGACTGTACCTGAAAAGCTATCAATAGAACTAGTAAAGGATAGGCTTGGGAAGGAGAGATAATATTGTTGAAGGAACATAAATTGATGGACAGACAGAAAGAAAGAGATGAGATTTGCAGAAATCTCAACAGAACACAATATGAAAATCTATATAAAAGTTACTAAAGGGAGTCCCATAAGTTTTCGTACACAGGGACAAAAACAAAACATACCATCAATGCTATTACAAGTATAACTCGAGATGTGCTTATACATCAGCAGTTCTCTACCTGCTGGGCACGACCCTTTTTGGGTCAAACGACCCTTTCATAAGGGTCGCCTAAGACCATTGAAAAACGTATATTTATTGAATTTATGAAGGGAAAATAATTGTTTGGGGGGTTGCCACAACATGAGGGAACTGTATTAAAGGACTGCGGCATTAGGAAGGTTCACAGCCATTGTTAGACATGTTCTTCAATGAAGGACACTCACTGAAATCTTTTTCAAAACAATGGTAGTTTTCTTACACATGGAAACTTATGGGACACCTTGTATGTTAACTATTAGGCCTCCTCTTTCTATTCTTCTCTAGCTAGTTTTTAATTTGAAACAATTAATTTAAATACTTTGGATGTTATGATCATTTCTGTGTGGCATGTCAGATTTCACAAAAACCGAAAAATCTGAAAAAAACAGATGATCTGATTGAAACATTGTGTTCAATCTTCTTCCTAACCGAAATTATCAGCAACAGGTTTAGAACACACATTATGAATCACAATATCAAAACCACTGTCACTATCTGGCTGAGATTCATCAACGACAGAGTAGAATTTACAGTTCTAGACTTTTCCCTTATCATTTGCTGTAGAAAAATGTAAAACAATTCAGAAAGTGATGCAAAAGCCATGCCAAACTTTGAAAACAATAGGACTTCATGTCACTAATTCTAGTTTTTCAAAACATGTTTATACAAATTTGATTTCCTAGCAAATGAAACACTATTAGTGTCTTTATGATGCGCCACTACAGAGGCTAAAAATCCAAACAAGGTGGATTCCAAAAGCCATTTAAGTGGCCAATAGTCCATAAACAGCCTAAGAAAAGGCAGCTGCGAATTGTAAAAAAAAATTATTTACCTTATACCGTGAAGCTAATGAAGGATATAGTACAGCAGCTGTGTAGACGCCACCAATCCCAGCAATGGACAGATACACCAACCGTTTTGCATACTTAAATGTCCTCATGATTGATCTCGGAACTCACGACATACTTAAGATCTTGACTGTCTAGAAATAAAAAAGTGGCTATGTTTTTTTTTTTAAAATAAATACTATTGTTAACTCATTTATGAAAAGCTAAAAACCAGAGACCAACTACATGGCAGCTGCCTCACACATCACATGAAAATCAACTCTGAAAAAACAAAAATAATCCAACAACATTATAATAGATTAATTTATCTGCCAAGTCTCACAACACCCAGCTATTCAAACACATAACTTAAAGTTATAAAGATAATCTTTATTCCAGCTTTCTCCCCGTGTGGGTTCCGGGGCCCTACTATGGGAAAAACAAGAATAACAAGAATAGACCCACTGCCTACCCAAAAGCATGTCGTAAGAGTGGACTAATTGGAAGCTTCCTTCGAAGTCGGAGTGCATCTGCCTGACAGGCAAGGAACCAATAGTCTGCACACAGATCTGTAAAAAAGGTGCACACGCAACATTCAGGTTCTGGAACAGGACTGCAGTCCAGAAGTGGACGAACAACCAGAACTTTCCACTGGAGTTTACAGCCGGTGAATGCGAAGAAGAAGAAGAGATTCCAGCTTTCGGTTACCAGTGTCAGACTTGGACATTAACCAAACAACATGACAGAAAAGAAACAAAAAGAACTTGTAAAATTAGCTGTTTGAACAAGAAAACAGCAAACAAAGCAACAGTTAGTGTTAGAAATGAAGAGATTATAAGAACTATTGGAACAATATCCATTGTTAAACTAAGTGACAAATAAAGACTGAAATGGATTAGCCTCCTAGTGAGAATGAATTGAAAGTTTTAATATATTATCATAGTCGCCATCACCACACATCAGGCTCAGTCCTTCCATGCAGCATTCACTCAAAGTATCTCTACTGATTGTTTCATGATCCCTGTCGAGGTTCCAGGGGCCCCATTGTGGGGAAAACTAGAACAGACCCACTGCCTGCCCAAAAGCATGTCGTAAAACTCGACTAATTGGGAGCTTCCTTTGAAGACCTGAGTATCAAGGAACCAACAGTCTGCATGCAAATGAGTCAGACCAGTGAAAAAGATACACACACAACAATCAGTTTCTGAAATAGAACTAAAGTTCAGAAATGGACAAACAACCAGAACTTTCCGCCCGAGTTTACTGCTGGTGAACGTGAAGAAGTTTAATGAGAAGACTGTCCACACAGCACAGATGATAAAGATGCCAACAGCAACAGCAGATGTTATAAATATAGAAACATCAAGAGATAGAGGAGACCTACAAGAATAAAGACTTACGGAGACAATGACAACCTATGACTTCACAACATGACAGCATACCAAGCGACCGAGTATGCCCTAGCTGGCTACATCTGTTAAACTGCACCATCTAGCAGCACAAAGCAGATTCTGACAAAATAAGTTAGCTCTTTCAAGGTTTAAAAGAATAATTCTACTTGCGTATTTTATCTTCCACCTGAGCAAAGTCACACTGCACGCAGTATAATAAAGACCTGCCAGGGATGAAAATGCTTGAGACAGAAAAACTGTTAAGCATCCAAGAGGGTGTCCGACTGGCTGTTAACTCTTTGAGTCCTGAGGAACGCATCATACGTTCATATGTTCCTACCTAGAAGCCCATTGAACACATGATGCGCCGATTGTATGACTCTCTTTACTAACCCCTGGGCCTGTGATGCTAAACCTCCTGGGACTCCTTTGAAGTCCTGAGTATCAAGGAACCAACAGTCTGCATGCAAATGAGTCAGACCAGTGAAACGGATGCACACACAACAATCAGTTTCTGAAATAGAACTAAAGTTCAGAAATGCAGGCAAGAATTAATGGGAGCAAGACCTGCAAACTTGCAAAATGAAAGAGCTTACAACATGTTCCAACTGTCCTTGTTTTAAAATTTCACTTCAATAAATAACATCAACAATAAAAATACCTCTTGGTATAAGCACAGACTGACAATGAACAAGTGGATATCACTTTTCAAATTTATAAAAGGCTAAAAAAAAGTGCATTTAATCACTCTCAGACTACAACTGTCATCATGAGTATTAGAACAATTGGAACATAAGTATTCTCAGTCTACTGACAAGACATTGACCTGACTGCTTCTAAAGATGGGACACAGGCATTTACAGGAAAGAATGCCTTGAGTTCTGTGATGTTGGTTTTCAACCCCCCAATTTCTAAAGTATATATGACATCAGGTGCATAATACTCTCTAATTTATACAGATTGAGAATGCAATGTACTATGCTATCAGTGCCAAACATAGACACTTACATCCTCCAATGAACGTAAAATTCTGACAACAGAGATGAAATGCCTTAGAAGAGCTGCAGGAGTTTCAAGGAAAGACAGAATACGAAATCATGAAATCAGACGAATGCTAGGAATAAAGCCAGTCTTACAGGTCATCAAAGAACAACAAATGAAGTGTTTTGGACACCTAACAAGAATGTCCTGGTACTATCCGCCACAGCGAGCCACACTAAAACATTACAACGGGTATAGAGCGAGTGGAAGACCTCGGAAAATATGGAGTGATGGCATTAAGAACAGCCTTACAATGAACATCAGTCTTAATAGTGCTCTTGGCAGAGCTCATCAATGAATATTACATCTTCCCCCGACAATTCGAAGAGGTACAAGGTGGAAGAGAAGAAGAAGAAAAAGAAGAAGAAGAAGAAGAGAAAGAAGAAGAAGAAGAGAATGCAATGTAAAAATAATGAAATCTGAGGGCTCTCCTCCAAACTTCTACCCCCGCAGTATTGCGGTCTGAAATATCCGTTCGGGGCGCAGTCCAATTAAAATTATGCCGGCTCCATATAAAGAAACAAATGCTCTAACAGGGTCTCAGAGATATGTTACTTGCGGACCTGTTTCTTATTGTTTCTTCTTCTTCTTTTGTCAAAATCTGCTTGTGCCGCTAGGCGTCGCAGTCTGTCAGATGATCGGCAACCGAGCCAGGGCGCGCTCAGTCGCTTCATATGCCGTGATGTTATGAAGTCTGAAGTTGTTCGTGACTCCTTCAATCCATCTTCTTCTAGGTCTTCCCCTGCCTCTTGTTGTTTCGATTTTCATGTTGTATGCTCTTGATGTTGGCATCGTTGGTTCCATTCTCATTAGGTGACCAAACCATTTCATTCTTTGCTTCTCAATAAATTTAACGATGGGTATGGTTCCAATAGTTCTTGTAATCACATCGTTTCTCACTCGATCTCTTCTGGTTTTATTCGCAGCCATTCTCAAACATCTCATTTCACAGGTGGTTAGTCTTCTCTCATGTTATTTTGTTAATGTCCAAGTCTGACATTGATAACCTAATGTCGGTATAAAGATTGTATTTATAATTTGTCTTTTTATCTCAGCTGGGACAGCAGGGTGTTTTAAAATTGTTTCTGATTACCTGATAATTCTAAGAGACGCACACAATACTGCAGACGATAGTAGCAGACAATAATAATAGCGACCGTTGACACTTTCCATTGTCAAACTTTCCGCCGACGAACAAATCACAGCAAATCTAGGATCGGCTCGAAAAAACGAAACAAATGCTCTAACAGGGTCTCAGCGATATGTTACTTGTGGACCTGTTTCTGTGACTGTGCCTCACCGCCGAGTGTATTCCCCGCGCCGCTATGCGCGGAGCGGATAGGGGCTAAACTAGATGGCTGGGACTCACGAGCGGCAGCTACCGCATCTCCTGCAACTTCCTCTAATTACTTTGCTCGTGAGTCCCAGGCACCTAGTTTAGCCCCCCATCCGCGCCGCGCGTAGCGGCGCGGGGGATACACTCGGCGGTGAATTTAATCGCATTTTGCGCATGCCGACAAGTCTGACATCTACCGCTGCTAAATCCTCAATCGGAAGAACAGTATTGCTAATCTGCGTGGAAGCGCGTGGTCTACCCGCCATATCGCTTTCATCGTCTGTAATGTCTCGAAATTGTCAACGTTCGCTTTTATCGTCTGCAGGAAACGCTCGACATTGTCACCGTAGGGACTACAGTTTCGGAAATTTGCGATCTTTTCGACAATTTCCGTTACCATGGAAACCGTTTGAAACTTGTTTCGGAAATGTCGGCTGGGGTTTCGGGATGGGTCCTAATCTCTCATGAAATTTTGGGATTGGTGTGATTTTTACCCACTCTAAATGGCTAAAAACAGCGGGAAGGAATCCGATTAACAGCGCATGTCTACGACAGCCGGACGTCCTCTGTTTTTCTGTTACATCAGTTTGATTGAAAATAGCGATAAGTTTTTCAGGTTGGCTTTAGGCTTTAACTGTTACTCGTCCTGGTAATGCTAGTTATAATTGAATTCTCCGTCCAATTTTACATTTGTGTATAAAATTTCTTTCTGGACGGTGGCTAGGTAGATTTACAGTGACATTTTTCAGGCAATCGCTGGCTCAGCCAGTGGCTGTGTCTCATTGCCTGCCATCTTGTCCAATGACAGTCCAATGTAAACAAAGCCGATACAGAACTGCGCAGTAGGTTGCGCAGTAAAAAACTTCTTGTTTCTGGGTCACAAGTTTTAGTGGCTGTTTCTTACATCTCATCTCCACAAAAACCTACATATCTCAGCTCAGAAATGACATACAAGCCTAAATGAGGTACCATTGGAAAGAGATTGTTTACAGCTATCTAACTGTGCTGGTTTTATTGGTGTAGAGGGCATTTAAAATTTTTTACTGAAGTAGCTAGTCACCGGTCGCTTTTATCGTCTGCTACTATCGTCTGCATGTTGCGTCTCGTGTGACACTGTAAGGTACTCCTAGTTTTGCCGCAATTTGTTCCTTGGCGGGAACTCCGACAAGTCCGTATTTTTAATTGGACTGCGCCCCGAACGGATATTTAAGGCCACAATACTGCGGGGGTAGAAGTTCAGAGGAGAGCCAACAAACGTCCTCTCTCTCAACCGCGACATCATGTATCGTATCAGTATCACTATCAACTCAGATAATTAGTAGTATATTTGTGCAAGCATCCATTA